GTGGCAACACATCTGGAACAAGAGTTTGCTGAAGCGCCAGACCAGCTTTTGACAACCATAGACTCTTCTCCGGGTACAGAGAGACTATTTTCTTCATTGCAATTTATTCCACTAGTTCAGTTCAATGACTAGCTCATTTAAAAGTTAAGAAACCAACTGGGAGTTGAAAAAAGCAGGAAAGCTTGTTTTCCTTTTCCAATTTATGAACAAAAACTAGGTATCAGAGAATGAGATGTACTATTCTAAGATCTTGAAGGTGAGATCCATGAGGGGACTTGGGCATTGCAATGTTGAGTGTCACAGTGTCTAACTTTTATGAGCCTAGAAAATCACAGGAACCACACAACGATCCACAAAGCTGAGTTAGATGCCTAGGCTCCCTATACAATGAATGCGGAGAGATAGGTGCTTAAGAAAGTGATCCACAAAAGTCAGTATGCTAGGTGAGAAGCTGCCTAAGCTCGCCAATAGGAGATGCCAAGAAGAGGAGGATGTGCTAAGCCCTGCCCCTGCCCCTCTCACAAAGACAGGCATGTAAGTCCAGGTTGCAGGAAGACACCTAATTCTGTTTAGCAATCCATGAACAGGAACCCACCCCAGAGTCAGACAGCTTAGGTGCCCAAGGCACCTAAGGAGTCTTGCAGGACTCCACACAAGACGGGGAGGCATGGTGTGTGGTGGGTTAATAATGAAAGAGTGATTGGAGCAGGGACAACTGGATGAGAGACAAAGAATATGACTCTGCAGTCCAATGTTAGGGCACCCACCTGAAAGGTGGGAGACCCCATGTCCAATCCCCCTGCTTCAAACACTCTTTCATTATTTACTTACAGTGCAACAGCTTCAACAGGAAAGTGAAGGAGCCCCATGTCAGAATATCCCATAGCTCAATTGTTAGAGCACTCTCTAGAGAGGTGGGAGACCCTTGTTCAAATCTTCTCTCCCCTCTGCCTGGGGTAGGAAATAAGCCTATGACTCCCACAACCCAGGTGAGTACTCTAACCACTGGGCAGAAGGTTATAAGGTGGGTGGCAGCCACATGACCAGCAGGATTAAATTGGGACCTGATCCACCAGGTGTGCTTAGTGAGTGAGTTTAGGCAGTTACAGGGTTCAGCAAAAATTCTGTGGATCACAAATGGAACTTAGCTGCCTAAACCAGAGATTTAGACACCTAAGTACCTTCACAGATCACACCCACACTGACCAGAAATAATCAGTTCAATTACAAATTATACTTCTTTTGCTTAGTTATTCAGTTTTAAAGGAAAAACGTGTTTTGATAAACTTTCTTATGTTTCCAGCACATTTAAAGGTAGTTTTATTTAATAAAGTTAAAACGCTGTTTTTGTGCACTTTTAATTGAATTTCCATCCAAATAAAGGTTGACACAAATAAATGTTTATTAAATAAGAAATGTGTCATTCACCATTTTCTAAAATTAATAAATTAAGAATTTGAATAAGTGTAAGAAGTTAAGCTATATAATTGATTAAATAAATGTGTACAGATATAACAGCCTCCTGGTTAGTAAAAGGCACCACATTTAGTGCAAAGGCTACATTTAGTTGCAAATAAACCGGTTTTAATGGTTATCAACCTTTTTTAAGGAAAAAGGAACTAAAAAGTACAAATGCAAAACATGATTCAAATCAATTATTTTAAATACCTTTGATTTAAATCAAACCACCCTGGATTTGGAATAAAATAAAGTTATTGCTGGTAAAGCCTGCAAGTGACAAAAATTGGTGGAGAGGCAAACAACGATAAGGACACATCCAAGAAGTGGAAGCTTGGACAAATGACCAGGGAGGAGTATAAAAATATTGCTCAGGCATGCAGAAGTGAAATCAGGAAGGCCAAATCACACTTGGGAGTTGCAGCTAGCAAGAGATGTTAAGAGTAACAAGAAGGGTTTCTTCAGGTATGTTAGCAACAAGAAGAAAGTCAAGGAAAGTGTGGGCCCCTTACTGAATGAGAGAGGCAACCTAGTTACAGAGGATGTGGAAAAAGCTAATGTACTCAATGATTTTTTTGCCTCTGTCTTCACGCACAAGGTCAGCTTCCAGACTGCTGCACTGGGCAGCACAGTATGGGGAGAAGGTGACCAGCCCTCTGTGGAGAAAGAAGTGGTTCAGGACTATTCAGAAAAACTGGGCGAGCACAAGTCCATGGGGCCGGATGTGCTGCATCTGAGGGTGCTAAAGGAGTTGCCGGATGTGATTGCAGAGCCATTGGCCATTATCTTTGAAAACTCATGGCGATCGGGGGAGGTCCCGGATGACTGGAAAAAGGCTAATGTAGTGCCCATCTTTAAAAAAGAGAAGGAGGAGGATCCGGGGAACTACAGGCCCGTCAGCCTTACCTCAGTCCCTGGAAAAATCATGGAGCAGGTCCTCAAGTAATCAATTCTGAAGCACTTAGAGGAGAGGAAAGTGATCAGGAACAGTCAGCATGGATTCACCAAGGGCAAGTCATGCCCGACTAACCCAATTGCCTTCTATGAGGAGATAACTGGATCTGTGGATGAGGGGAAAGCAGTGGATGTGTTATTCCTTGATTTTAGCAAAGCTTTTGATACGGTCTCCCACAGTATTCTTGCCAGCAAGTTAAAGAAGTATGGGCTGGATGAATGGACTATAAGGTGGATAGAAAGCTGGCTAGATTATCGGGCTCAATGGGTAGTCATCAACGGCTCCATGTCTAGTTGGCAGCCGGTTTCAAGCGGAGTGCCCCAAGGGTCGGTCCTGGGGCCGATTTTGTTCAATATCTTCATTAATGATCTGGAGGATGGTGTGGACTGCACTCTCAGCAAGTCTGCAGATGACACTAAACTGGGAGAAGTTGTAGATACGCTGGAGGGTAGGGATAGGATAGAGGGACCTAGACAAATTAGAGGATTGGGCCAAAAGAAACCTGATGAGGTTCAACAAGGACAACTGCAGAGTCCTGCACTTAGGACGGAAGAATCCCATTCACTCCTACAGACTAGGGACCAAGTGGCTAGGCAGCAGTTCTGCAGAAAAAGACCTAAGGGTTACAGTGGACAAGAATCTGGATACGAGTCAACAATGTGCCCTTGTTGCCAAGAAGGCTAACGGCATTTTGGGCTCTATAGGTAGGGGCATTGCCAGCAGATTGAGGGACGTGATCGTTCCCCTCTATTCGACATTGGTGAGGCCTCATCTGGACTACTGTGTCCAGTTTTGGGCCCCACACTACAAGAAGGATGTGGAAAGAGTCCAGCGGAGGGCAACAAAAATGATTAGGGGGCTGGAGCACATGACTTATGAGAAGAGGCTGAGGGAACTGGGATTGTTTAGTCTGCAGAAGAGAAGAATGAGGGGGGATTTGATAGCTGCTTTCAACTACCTGAAAGGGGGTTCCAAAGAGGATGGATCTAGACTGTTCTCAGTGGTAGCAGACGACAGAACAAGGAGTAATGGTCTCAAGTTGCAGTGGGGGAGGTTTAGGTTGGATATTAGGAAAAACTTTTTCACTAGGAGGGTGGTGAAACACTGGAATGGGTTACCTAGGGAGGTGGTGGAATCTCCTTCCTTAGAGGTTTTTAAGGTCAGGCTTGACAAAGCCCTGGCTTTGATTTAGTTGGGATTAGGTCCTGCTTTGAGCAGGGGGTTGGACTAGATGACCTCTGAGGTCCCTTCCAACCCTGATATTCTATGGTTCTATGATACATTGACTAAGACAGTAAATGCAATCCTTGTGTTAGCCAATATATTTTTCTAGAAGGCTTTGTACATTTTGTATTTACGCAAAGCTGTATAGCTATGAACCAAACTCCCAGCATGCTTTTGTACTTACGCTAAGCTTATGGTGAACTGTATATAACCTTTGTTCTTTATGTATGCTGAACTTGTCAGGAGTAAGATGTGTTCTGTTAAGGATTGTTATATATGAATTGTTGGTAAGTATCGTTAGTATAAAAATTTATGTCACTATGGGCTGCTGCTACTTGTACTCTACAGTTCATCAAAAACAACAAGGAGTCTGGTGGCACCTTAAAGACTAACAGATTTATTTGGGCATAAGCTTTCGTGGGTAAAAACCTCACTTCTTCAGATGCATGTTCTACAGTTCATGAACATCTGGAAAGTTATGGTGTCTGGTTGGTATAGATGTCTTTTGTATGCTGAAAAATAGATATGAAACTAGATAAGGAAAAGGGTGTAAGGTATATTAATCTTCTACTTGCTGTAAACAAATGGACAAAAACATGTCAGATTAACTCACACTTTGGAGCAGACACAGATGATGTGAGCTGTGATTGCTGTGAGACCACTTCCCAGAGATTGATAACGTACGACCCTCTCCTGTGCTGATTTTTCTGTTTAATAAACTGATTGAGTTATCTGACATATCATTAATCATTAATGAAAAACGAACCCTAAAAATTGGAAACAGAAGCAGGGAAATAATACTTTCCCTACTTCTGCTTGATACTACTTCTGTCAACATTCGTGAGATCATCACGGAATACCAGGTCCAGTTCTTCCGTCAACCTAGCTACTGCCTCTTGGAGAGGTGGATTCACTACAGCGAAGGGAGAACCCCTCGCATCACTGTGGTGATTGTCTACAGCTATGCTGCTGTAGCATTTTAAGTGTAGACGTACCCTAAGTACTATGTAACTGAGGACCAGTGGCTGGATGTTTGAAAAAGGATGTCAGATACTGTTGACAGAAATGCACATGTGGTCAAACTGTTATTGCTCCTTGATAGAAGACACTTCAATATTAGATTAAATGTATTTTTCATTTAAATGTCACATTAATAAGCTTTTATGAGCATTTAGAGGAATAATAAACAGGAGCTGCTGCTGCTGCTAGACTAATGATAGTAATAAGATTGTAAAGACTGATAGGGTTTCCAGTTTAAATTTCTTCCAGTTTTAAGAAATATATATTTTTTAAAAACTGTGTGCACTATACCCCGAGAACAAACGGATATTCAAAATGGACAAAAAAGTACCTCCATACTCACCAAGGAAACAACTAATGTGAACAGCCAGGCATAAATGAAGAAGTAGTCTCCCCCTATTTTAATAATGTAAAGCAGAAGAGAGGTCACAGGCAACAGAATACACTGAGTCACGATAAACTTCTTGATGGCATCCTTAAAAAAAAATCCCAGTGTCTGTAAAGAAAGAACATTAGTGATATTCATATTGTAGATAGCTAAGTGGTACTGTGGGTTAATGAACTGGTTTTTCACCTAATGTTCAAAAATTATTCTAGGTTATAAGTGAGAGGAATACAATGGAGCAACACAGCAAAGGCAACAATTAAATTTTGAAAGAACAGTTACTTACCTTTCAGGAACTATGGTTCTTCAAGATGTATTCTCTACATGGATTCCACTCTGGTGCACATGCATCCATGAATACCATATAGGATTCTCTTAATCAGCAGTATCCAATGGAGCTGCACTTGCACCACAAATGTCCTTGCACCCCCGCCCCCCACTCAAAGACAAAAAGAGTAGAGTGAGCCCAAATAAAATGGCAATTTTTCATAATATTTTTATGAAGCCTATGTGTGCCTCAGCTTCCCTCTGTACTTTCCATTGCTATCCATGTGGGGGAGTGCAGGGGTGCGGAGTTGAAGTCGGCTCTCAGGGCAGCACAGCAGATATGAGGTGTTTGCGTCGCTTTGCTGTCTGGGCCACAATGAACAGATCCATAAGGAATCGGATGGAACCTTCTGAAAGTGACCCATATCAGTGCATAATTCCCAAGAGAAAATGGGAAACCACAATGACCAAAATACTCAGTCAATCACCATGAGAAAGGTGGTTTTTCCCACCACCTCTCAGCAGGGAAGCTGAGAAGAGACCAGCTCAGAAACAAAAGACAGAGAGGTGACTGGCAGGGGATTAAAAGTGGTTTCTCAAAAAGGCTGGCTGCTCTCATGTGGGACTGACAAAAGGGTCAGAGACAAAAGCAATAATGGAACCCATTACAGCTTGGCTAATGGATTACTCTGGCTTGGACAGATGGACACAAATTTTATTTCTCTGTGCTAAACTAAGGACTTCCAATGTTGTATTTCAGTTAACTAATAAATCCTACTCTATTTTGAAAAGACTGCTTGATGTTACCGCAAGTATTTGCTGAGGTGAATTAGGCCCTGAAGAGTGCACAAGCCTCTAATTAGGAGTCTATCATAGTTGGATTTGCTGGCAAAGCTCAGTGTGAAATAGGAGTGCTTGAGGCCAGAAGCTCAGGCTCTGAGTGGGTGAGGCTGCAAGGCCTATTCTGAAGGAAGAAAGTGAAACCCCTTGGGACTCTATTACTGAAGGGATTTCTCCAAGAAACTGTTTAAAAGCTTGGGCATAGTATCAATCCCATGGATCTGTGACACTTGTTTTTTCTAAGTCGGTGCGTGCAGGCCTCTTTCAAACAATGGTGTGCTGTTTGGCTTCCCTCTAGTTTTAACAGAGATTGGGAAAGAAAACTGGAAGGTGAATCAGCTGATTTAAATGAAAATGTAAAACTTTTTAAAGAAAGAATTTCGAATGAGGCTAAGAGTTACACGGTGTTCCACAAAGATTAATTAAGGTGAACCAAACATGAATTTCCTCTACTCTCCATGCTTATATTATGTAGTTTTCATAGACAAGTGGCATAAAGAGCAGGCTCTGAGGGGATCAGAAGGAGGACACATCAAACCAGTAATACTATGCTGAGGTCCCAGAAAGGAGGGGGCTCCCAGACTGGGAGAAGTACATAAATGAGCTTCTTGAGGAATCTAACAATTGTAGGGTAGGAAAATATGCTATGACCCTGAACAGGTGGATGATGTGCCCATATTGCTGCTAACTATACCCTTTATGGATAGCCCTGAATGTTTTAGGGCAAGCAGACAGACCAGAATAACAGAAACCAGGGCTTCCAAGGGAGATGGGGATGTCCATTAGAGATTTTACTACTATATATCGAAGTGTTCTGGACTTACGTAGAATAGCTTCATTCGATGACCGCTAGCTAGCCAGCATCCAGGCTGCCAGATATAATGATGCTAGATCTGGGTGTAAGATACGACCTCCATTTTTGTGAATCCATACTGGGAAGAATAGGTGTGATCTACAGCTGTATCGACAGATTTATCAGATGAGAGTAACAGAACTGTCTAAGTCAAGCTGGAACTATCATAATCACTGAGACTGAATCCTGTCCAAGTTTCCTCAGGACGCTTGGTATTAAATGGGATTGTTGGTTAGGCATACATGAACTCTGGTGTACATGAGGTGAGGAAGGCATATGACAGGGATCCTGAAGCAGAACATCCAGCACTTCTTGTTCTGGAATGTGGCAAATAGGGAGGCCCCAAAACCTACCCACAAAAGATACTCCGCACAATTGAGTTTCACAGTTAGCTTGTGGTTGTCTGATCTAGCTATCCTAGCTGATCCAATGGGGCATTTTGTAAGCTTGGGGATGCAAAGCCACAGGTTAGATTTGAAGACCAATGCACCAGCATAATGACTTCTTGACAGAGCCAAGTTGATCATACTCCTCCCCACCATTGCTGTTATATTGTCCATCATCACTTGGATTGTGGATCCCTGAAGCAAGGGTTGAAATGCCACACATACTAGATGTATGGCTCTGAGCTCTAGGACATTAATGTGGAGAGAATATCGGGGGAGAGGGGGAGAGAAAAGGAGAGACACAAGAAGCACAGAAGGGTCTAAAGGTGGTCCAGATGAGCTCCCCATCTGAGTGTGTGGCATCCGTCATCAACTTCTTGGCAGGTGCTGCTCGATTTGGGACAAGGTGTTGCAGTTCGTAGCAAAGCTTACTGCGGAATAAAAGAGAAGAGAGAAGATCTGTAGTATGTGAGGGGCAGCTAGTGGCCTGAACATCTATGCAAAAGTTGCTCTAGATGCATCTGGTACAATGGAATGTTCAACGTCTGCTTTCACTATGATGGACACGGCTTTGTGGTTCCAGTCTTCAGGAATATCCAGGGAGGGCCAAATGAACACTGAGGACCAGCAAACACCCCATGGACGTGAAGATTCTATGAGAAGTCCTCTCCCCATTAGATTGATGCTCACCACCTGAATGCTGGACCCAAGGACTACATGCACAGACTAATGGTATATAAAAGTGTAACTGGCTCTCCAGGTAGATGCCTGACAAATCTCCTGCATAGCCAGGCTCTTGTTTGGCCCAGGAAGTTGAGCTATGATTTGCAACCTACAACTTACAACACAGACCTTCGATACAAATCCAAGTCAATTTTGCTCAAACTGTTCTGGATGCCTTTTGTCCCTTTTTTGGGGTTGCGGCAGAGGACAAAGACGTGGAGAATGTAAAGTCTTGAGTTCTAAGGCGGTAAAGTTTTAGGTTTCTCTGACAAAAGGGCACCTTATTACAAAACACTAGGAAAGAATCAAAGTTTCTGACATAGCACCACAAGATGATGGCTGCTACAAAGACTTCTGGAGATAGCAAGCAGACAGCAAATGCCTCACTGACTGAGAACGAAGAATGAGATGGGTGAGGAGTGAAGGAAAGTAAGGTCTACTCTCTAGCTTTTCCATTTCCTGGACTCTAGTGAGCAGAGGATGAGAGCCAATTAACTGGCTGAATAACAGTCTCAAGAAAAGAAGCTTGCCACTTGAGGTGATGTAGGATTAGACCACTTTCCAAGACATCTGGAGAAATCAAATCCAAGGCCTAGGGGAGTTCTGAATCTCTTCAAAAAATACTAAGCAGAAACAAATTCCAGACACTATAATAGAATTTGGAGGGGACTGCCTGCAGAACTTAAGTTGCCTGACCAAAGAAACCAAAAAATGTCAAGGAAACTTTCTCAAACCAGGGTTTGGTGAAGGTGAAGATTATCTAGGCCTTTGTCAACTACTGGGCCTTGAGACAGTAGATATGGAACTAGGGGGAAGGCAAGCAGATCCTGGGCTGACAGCATCAGCAATTCATAGAACCAACATCTAAAGGGAATCAATGATGATTATCTTTCCTCTACAACTTTCAGATTCCTCCAAATTCAGTAAAAAGGGGTCAGGAAAATTTACAAAGCTCTTCTTCCCTCTCCATTCCAAGGGATTAAAAAGGCATCCATTGTTCAAATGTCTCTGAACTCGCAACAAAATCACCATAAACTGGGTAGGCATTCTTGGCTGTGGAAAGCAGATCCAGGTTTGAAGAGCCCCATTTTCAGCAGAATGGCCATGTGGAACCTTTCCCTTGACAGGAATGCATTAGAAATGTAAGAACGTTACAAGATGAGCTGGTCTGAGGGAGGTAAAAATTGCTTCTACAAACTAGTACCTTGCTCCAAGTTCTGCTTTTCCTAAATAAGTAATCTACTATATATTGTCCAGTTGGATGAGTATTAGGGCAAATTGCATGGACTGGAGTTTGCAAAAAATCCATACATTTCTTTGCCTCCTTGGCCAGGTGCCCTAAGTCAACTCAAAGATAAACATTGCTCATTGGCTTTGGAAATGACTGACCAGTAAAAGTTGTGGAGAGGCACATTTTTGTTTAGATGCATGAGGCTTCCACAAGCCCACAGATTGCCTAAATGGGGCTAAGAAGGAAATTACTTTTCTCAGAGTGGATTATAAAGTCCATGACAGTAATTAACAGGGCTGACCTTTACACTTGATGACTCTGCCTGCCAAGAAGGATGGAGTATCTAGAAACTATCAGCAGCCATTGGTACAATATGCATCTTCTGAGAGCAAAATACTGTTGCTATGACAACCACTTTGAAGAATATACACAGAGCAGATGGTAGGGCAAGATAATAAATTGAAATATTCATGGTCCAGAGCAAACATCAGAGAACCTCTGCTTCATGAGAACATATTGTCCTGCAAAGGGGAAAAATGGGTCTGTGCTCTTTTTGCTTCTTTATGAAGATGAATGAAAGGCTGAAAGGGGTTTGGTGTTGAACTCACAACACTCTTCCCTCAGATGTTTCTCAGGCATTTAAGTGTGTGTGAAAGAAGTGAAATAAAACATGAAGTTTTAAGTATTTTGAACAGATGTCATCTCCCTTCTCAGTTAATTAGGTTCTGTTTCCGTAGTATCTGGCCCACAGGGAATTTCAGGAAAAAATTGCTAGGCTACACATGTAATTCTAATGTGTGAAACCAAGAAGATTTTGGGGAGCTGAGTGCGGGGGAGCAGAGAGTAGATGGGAAGAAAATTTTCAGGCCTTCTTTATACATCATAGTAAAAAAGCCTCAGTTATTTTTCATTTGTGAGTCACCTGTAGGTTGATGGAGGCAAAACAGTCTCCTGGTTCTACTGCAGTAAGGATGAAGTAACTGCTACCCTGGCTCTACTTGGAAATGTCTAGAAGTGACAAACAACTAGTTCAGTTACTTTAGGTCTAGCTTCGACTCAGTCCTCCTGGCTCCTGGGAAACTGCAAATAGAAATGAGAAAATCCCAGGGCATCTGGTACTGTGCTCTTGCAGATGAAGCAGATAAATTCTTTACAATATGAGAAAGCACTTTCCTGATTGATTTCCCAACTTTCAGCCTGTGTTAAACTGGAACTTTGTGGTGGGCTCTGGGCCCTACAGTCCCTCCCTGGAGAGATATAGTGCGGTGCAGACAGTTACAGACAAGGCTTCAAAGTCCACAGAAATAAATTGCCTATTATGATCTGGATAGGAATGTTTCCCTCTCACAGAAGCAAACCCTTTCTTCAGAGGAACTGGAAAGAATAAGGGCCAGGGAGGAAGGAAGGAACCAGGTCTGATTTACCCTGAGGAGGTACCCCTAGCTGAGCAAGAGTTAAGGCAATAATTGAGAAGGGGAAACTCTCTGAAGAGAAAGGTCCTGCCAGTGTAGGAGGGAGACCTACGCAGGAGATGGGGAAGGGGCAAGTTAAGGAAATTGAAACTGCTGGAACAAGACAAGTGAGTAGTTTGTAGGAGGTGAGAATCAAAAGATGACCCTTCTGGTTTAGCAGAAGGCGGAATTCATGAGGCAGATTAAGGAGGTAAACCAGAGATGGTGCTCTCAACCCCACTCAATCAACTACATGCAGTGCCTGGACTTGGGTGTCAGAAGTGCTTCTGGGGAGGGGTAGGCAGCAGCCTGGCAAAGGAACATTCATTAGACCTCTTCAACATGGGACTGGTAAGGGGAACCAGGCTGTAGGAGGCAGAGACAAGACCTAACTGACAATGGAAGCAAGGAGGCAGGAGAGATTCTTGGCTCCACAACGAGGGTATATATTTCCTCTTCTCTTTGCTGCAACAGCTGCCACCATCTTCCCTGAACAACTTGACATAAGACATGACTGATCCATTCGTAGGTGCTGGTGTGATGTTTGTGTGAGGGCAGCTGCAGAAAGAGCTAAGTACTAAGAATTCGTGGTCTGGAACAGAAAGTGATCTGATGATATAAGGGAAAGCAGAAGCTGGCATATCTATGAATCATGGTCAAAACATTCAGAGATTTAGGTTCTCACAGAAACATTAATGTCACATTGCATGTGGTAAAAGAAATACTACTGGCAAATAGGAGGAATTTACAGATATTTGTCCACCTGGCATTTTCTATAAACTAACTTTAATTTGGAAAGCTATTTCCGTAGAGGTATATTTCACAGTACCTGCTGATTGAAGCCATGTTTCTCCTCTATGACAAAGGTATTATATAGACTCCATGGTAGGCCAGTCACCGCACTGAAGAGTGTAGCAAGCAGCAGGAACACCAATGACTGAGCGATCTATACACAAGAAAAAGAGTTCCTACTTATAAACTTCTTACAACAGAATTTAGACATCTTATTGCCAATAAAGTAAATTTATATAAATAGTATAACAGGAACTGGCTGAAAGCTAAAGCTAGATAAATTGAGGCTAGAGATAAGGTGCAAATTTTTAATGCTTGGGGTCATTAACCAATTCAACAACTTGTCTGGAGATGTAGCAGGTTAAGGCTCCAAGTGATTAAATAAAGTTTGGACATCTTTCCTAAAACATGATGTAGTTTAACCACAACATTTAAGCTTAATGAAGGATTTACTAGGTGAAATTCTTTGGCTTATGCTAATCAGTAGCTTGGACTAGATGATAATAATGGTCCTTTTCTGGCCTTAAAACCTATGAATCTATAAACACACATTTATTAGTATCTGAAGATAAGGTAAGAAATATAAAGGGCAAAGAGTGAATGTTAATTAATTAATGGAGATATCCCATCTCCTAGAACTGGAAGGGACCTTGAAAGGTCATCAAGTCCAGCCCCCTGCCTTCACTAGCAGGACCAAGTACTGATTTTGCCCCAGATCCCCAAGTTTGGCCCCCTCAAGGATTAAACTCACAACCCTGGGTTTAGCAGGCCAATGCTCAAACCACTGAACTACTCCCCCCCCCC